ATTAAATGGTGGACTTTAACTGCAGTTTGGCTCTTTCATTCAGGGAATTCATTCATGCCTCTCGCGACAAACGAGATATTTGATTCGAGGAACTGCTCTAAGCGTGTATTTTTTATGCAATGTTTGATACCGCACGGCGAATGAGAGAAAAAAAACCTCCGCATTTCCCAGAAACTTAGATGCACTCGGCAGGTAGCGTCAGAAAGCCGCGTGTGTTATTCCGGTCTCTAAATGCGGTGAAAACCCTACACGAGGTTAAAGTTTGGTTGTGGTGCTAACATGTTTACTCTCGGTGTAATGGTTAACTTAGTTCGATACGAACAAACTGAATAAACAAAGAGCGCTGGTCGCTCATTTACCAAATCTGTAGAGACAGGACAATCACCAGCAACTAGAGCCGCGTCTTTATTAAGAGGAGACTAAAGCGAATCCGGATTTCAGCGTTTGCAGATGAGAACAGATCTCAGGTAAACAATACTCCTCCTTAGACACGTAAGTTATTGTTGTGGAGCGTCGCGTACACTGTTAATCCACACGTGACTCCAGCTGAGCTCTCACAGAGAGAAAATGAAAACAAAACTGAACTGCAGCAAACTATAAAAGCAACACTTCACGCTTGTTTTGCCAACACAACGTGGCGTCTCTGTCGTCTAAACACTGTGACAGTAATGAATATTAATGAAGTTGCACAATAGAGCGCGCTGATTGGTTTAAACCAAGCCTTACTCATGCATTAATGCAGCACACTGTAAGACGTAATAAGACACACTCTGGCACAGACGCTCAGTCTGCACGCTGGAATACACACTATTATGTCATGACCGTGACGCAGCTTCAAAAATTCGTTTCAAACAGGAAGTACGAATTTGCTTGAAATAACGCAAAAACAACCAATTTACACTTTTTAGTGAAATATAGGTGTCCTAATAGTGTTTTTAGCAGTGTGGGACACATATACCACTGTATACAGCTCAACACATGTGTTCTGGTGTTTCGTGACCCTTTAAGTCTTTTAATGTCAATGAATACTAGCCTCTTGAAAAATATCTACAGTAGTCAAATATCATGTGCTGTCATCATGGCAAACAGAAAATAAATCGGTTATTAGAGATGAGTTATTAAAACTATTATGATTAGAAATGTGCTAAACAAATCTTTCCATTAAACACTCCATTAAAACACATGAGAGATATTTGATCAATTATATTTTCACAGCAGGGAGAATAACTAATTAAAAAGCAGCTTTCGGAGTGGGCGTGGCTTGTTTTTTTCTACTGCGAGCTGATTGGATGTAGTAAAGTAGGCGTTTCATTCAGAAAGATAAGGGGAAAAGGGTTTGGGGAGAGTTATTACAACCTAACAGACTCCTCCTCCCCATTTCTGTTTGATGTCAATCTGACAGCTGGAGGGGCGTGGTTAAGTATGTTGGCCACACCTAATACCTCAGAAAGACCTAATCTGAGAATTGATCTGAAAACAAAAAGGAAGTGCAGTTTCAGATTTCAATTAAAGATTACAAGAGCAAACTATTGTTTTGTCTTAATGACATGCACAGATGAATTGTTCAGCACTAAACTAGCGATGAGAGCTAACAACATCACTACGGCTCGTTTTGATTTCATGACTAATTTAATAATGCAGTTTTTAGCGTTAATATAGTGACTTCAGCAGGTCTCAGTCTTCACGTTGGTCTCCTTTCTTCTCTGATCAGGCTGTTTACTCGCATGAGAAGGTGAAAATGGAGGGAACCATCTCTCAGCAGACCAAACTCATAGACTTCCTGCAGGCCAAGATGGACCAGCCCAGCAAGAAGAAGAAGGTAAGAGTTTATCATGGTCCAACTCGTTTATAAAATCTGCAAAAATCACAATGCAAGTCATCTAAAGTCATCAAAGTGAAAAGTCCTTAAAATGTCTTAAATTAAAATCTGGGAAATTAAGGTCTAAAATTGTCTTAAATTTTACTGTAAAGTGGCTGTAGGTATTAAATTTTCAGCCGGTCTGCTTAATGACGATAGGGAAGCACAGTGGTCCATCGTAAAACATCTAATAGTTGATTAATTTAGTATGTGTGAAACAGGAGAGAAATGACAGTCTCCGTGATTTATTAGCTTATTACGGTAGGTCAGGTACAGAGTACAGACTCTGACGCCGGTCTGCACCTGCGCGCTGTCATTACGCGGTTGTTGATGTGAGGTTCAAAATGCAAACATAGGAAAGTGTTAATTTACAGACGTGGCAATGAACCAATGTGTAAATTCTGCAAAAAGACTTTTTCGTTAGGGACTATGGGGCTCAAAGTCGTCGAGTCGCACATGAAAGGAGGAAAGCAGCAGCTGGACAATGCAGCAGCTAGTCGTAGCGGGTCCAGGTTAATCCCTGCATTGTTTGCAGCTCGACCTAAAAATGTTACTAGTTCAGACTAGGGCTGAAGATTTTTGCTGGGTTCGGACTTTATTTCTATCATTTTAGACGGGGTCGTGCCGGGCTTGCGCAGTAAATGAACAGTCATGTGATGCATTTCGAGTAGCACGAGGAAGTAATCAAATTGGTTGTTACAACATTGAAATCCATCCCTGCAAAGGTAAATCAAATGATGACAGAGGAGTCAAAATGAGTGAATTTTGACTGCGGTCAGAAAATGAATGTTCTTGACTGGTGGAAGATGAACAAACAATCCTACCCAAAACATGCTAAATTAGCCAGATCAGTAGTGTATCCCGGCCAGTAGCAGCAGCAGAGAAAGGGTGTTGAGTGCTTCTCAGTGAGCGCAGGACTGCACTAAAGCCATTTACAGTGGATTCAATAATGCTCCCCCACAAAACACACAGCCTTATCTTGATGAGTAAAGAATTTCAAATTATAACCAAATATTAATAAAACCAAAAAATCATAGTGTAGTCAGAGTATACAGGCTAATGCTGGCATTATTCTTTTATTATTCAGCTTCACCATCGCCTTATTGTGAAGAGAAGTGGCAAAACAAATCCCACTCACCCTAATTTCGTTATTGCCAAAATACCCGTCATCATTTATCATTTATTCAATTCAATTCAATTCAGCTTTATTTGTATAGCGCTTTTACAATGTAGATTGTGTCAAAGCAGCTTCACATAAATGGTCATAGTAACTGGAACAGTGTAGTTCAGTTTTTAGTGTTTAAGTTCAGTTCAGTTCAGTTTAGCTCAGTTCAGTGTGATTTAATCATTACTGAGAGTTCAAACACTGAAGAGCAAATTCATCGATGCGTAGCTCTACCAATCCTGAACCATGCGAGGCAGGGGCGACAGCGGAGAGGGAAAAAAAACTTCACCTGATGGGAGTGAAGAAAAAAAACCTTGAGAGAACCAGACTCAGTTGGGCACGACCATTTTAATTTCTCTGCTGGCCAAAAGTCTTGTGCAGAACTTCATTCGCCGTGGTTTATTTATTTTAATTCATTTTCTGAGAAAGACTTATTTTTACTTGTGTGTTGGCCAATTTAAAGGTTAAGTGTATGTACCCGGGCCTTTTTAGAGTGTTGAGATGGTAAGATGTTACAGGGGGCTTATTTAATTTTTTTGTTGCAACTTCCAAGTGTCCTATAGCCAATGTTATGAATAAGTAATGTTAACGCATATTTAACGACTCATTCATGAAAAAAGACAAAAGAGCTGTGTGCATGTGCACATTTGGATAATGTCGGGCTATAAACGGGTTCGGGTTTTAAATAAACTGTCAATCAAAATGTACCTGTCGGGTTCGGGCTCTATCAGGCCCAACTTTTATAGCCTGATTACAGCTCTAGTTCAGAAGCCCCCTCACAATCAGCTATAACAGTTTCATTTCAGACACCCTAAAGGCAGGTACTGTGGGTTATACACACTGTAACGAGGCACAATTCGTTTAAATTTAACGAGGACATTAAATGAGTAGTCTATTCCAAAGAAATTATAAAACTTTTGGGTCTTAAATTATATTTGTTGAGGTCTTAAAAAGGTCTAAAAGCATTAAATTTTACTTTTAAAATGGTGCAAGAACCCTGAAATGGATAAATAATTTAAAAATTAACAATAAAACAAACACTTTCTTAAAAAATGAAGTTGAAGTATTTTAAATAAGTAATAAATTTGATGAAACAATGTTTTACTGCATTTCTTTAAACATTTACTCTGTCAAATAAACGCGAACAAGCTCATCTCAATCTTTAAGAAAACTCATTGTGAAACTCCAGTAGCAGTGTCGTTGGTTAAGAATTCTCATCGCTCCTGTATTATCTGTACTCATGAACAGGACTGATGATGATCCTCTACGTTGCAAAAAAAGTCCAAATATCAATTGCTAGAGTTAATGCTTAACAAATGATGAGTTAACAATCAGCTAATGCTAAATAAATGATTCGCAGTGTGCAGTTATTATAAAGTGTTGCCAGAAAGCATTGTTTGCGGTGTATAACGTGTGCTGCCGTCCGCTGCAGGGTATATTTGGGCGTCGCGGCCGCGAGGAGGTGGGCGTCACTGCTAACGGAGCCACCGCCATGTCCACTCAGCCTGTGGTTCCTCTGCAGTACAGCGACATGAAGGCGGCGCTGGAGAAAGAGAGATCCCGCTGCTCTGAGCTGGAGGAGGCGCTGCAGAAGATGAGGATCGAACTGCGCTCGCTACGAGAAGAGGGTCAGACAGTTACTTTCTCTCTGCACGGGTGGAAAAATGACACATCCAGATAGTGTTTCCCCTGGGTTTGAATCATTGGGTGGTTTAAAAATGCTGATTCATTTACTGACAGTCTGTTGGACACTATCTGTGCCATTTTTTTGTGTTGTTTTGCCGTGCAAATGCACTTGAACACAAAAAAACACTGATGTCTATCTGTAATTGTTATAAAGGAAACACGAGAGACGCAAAGGGAGAAGCTTGTATGTTTACATCTGATCCCTATGAAGTCATTTAAGACTATAGGATCGAAATGAACACAGGTTTGTTCAAATCTCATTAATAATAGCATTAGAAGAATCATGATCAATTGTGTTTGTCAAATATGATGTGTTTATTTCTTCAGTGAACTTTAGGCCTACTAAATTTATAAATATATTGCATAAAATTACAGAGCTTTTACTAGAAAGACAGGTTATTGGGAGATTTGGAGCAACACATACAGTATGCATGGGTTCTGCTACATTCATTCTTCCATGGCGGGGCGCCACACCGAGATTCATCCCGCCACGGCTACATTGGTTTTCAGAGGTTCAGTTCAGTGTGGTTTAATAATCACTACTGAGATCCAAAGACTGAAGAGCAAATCCATCAATGCGCAGCTCTACAGATCCCGAACCATGCAAGCCAGTGGCGACAGCGGCGAGGAAAAAAACTTCACCATTTGGCGAAAGTGAAGAATAAAAAAACCTCAAGACAAACCAGTCTCAGTTAGGCACGGCCATTTCTCCACTGGCCGAATGTCTTGTGCAGAGCTGCAGTCAAGGCGCCGGAGGCAGGAATTTGGACATCAGCGAAGACTTGTCTGTTCCTGGAGCGTCGCAGGGATCTTTGTTTTATATTATTATTGTAAACTAAAACGATTTAAAAAAAAAAAAAAACACTTGTGACTTGGGGAGAATTAAATTGTTTACTGAAGTGAAAATAAAATGAAACGTAAACAAGATCAACAAATCACTTGGCTTTCAAGGGGGAGGTGCTGTTGAGGGGTGGCATGCACACTTAATATTTTAATTTATTAAATGGCATAGAACAGGGGTGCCCAAACTCAGTCCTGGAGGGCCGGTGTCCTGCATAGTTTAGTTCCAACCCCAATCAGACACACCTGGACTAGCTAATCAAGATCTAAAGCTGTGGTCACACTGGACTTTTCTCCCCATAGACTTCCATTCATATGCACGCGAATGCATCCAGAAACGCAAGCTCGTGTAACAAGTTTGCAGTTCGCTGCGATGCAAAGTTCAATCTTGGTGTTCTTTGACCTGCGAAATCGTATCACGTGAGACCAATTGAGAATCAAAACGTGACCTCTCTGTACAGGAATTTAGAATATGGATTGATCGCTCTCTTTTTTAAATGTCTAATCATCTCGTTTATTCTCGCCCCTAATCGCAGCGCCGTACTACAGAATTTCACAAGCTCAATCTCTAGTATAACAGCAGCATTTCTTGGCTTTTCAAAACCATCCGTGCAGGTGTGTTAAGGCAAGTTGGAGCTAAAATCTGCAGGACACTGGACCTCCAGGACCGAGTTTGGGCAACTCTAAGATGAACAAGGCCCCTTGAAATGATCTCATTTTCGAGGGGGTCCCCAAGAAGTTTAAAAATCAAAACAAAGCACAACACACACAGTTAGTGTAACCCTACGGTGGTAGTTCTGCGTTGTTGCAGGCTAAGAATCTATTTGTAGGAGTTTTCTAAATCTAGATTCGATGAGGAGGCTGGCTATATATTAATCACGTGGGCTAAGGACTCATAGATTGCACTACAAAAACACAGGACAATAGAATAAAGTTAAATGTAGTTCTTATTAAAATTATTTGTTCTTTTTTCTTTCCTATTCAGATTCAATATTCAGTTCACTTTACATTACTACCATTGATTTTGACAAATCAGCCACAAATTTTGAGATATCACGAAACAAAATAGAAGGAAAGATCTTTCAAAAAAAGGAAAAAAAATTGTTACCCTTGAGTGCACTCAAATATTTTAACTGTCTAACCACCCCTTCAATACTTAGCGTCCATATCAAACTCCAAAACGAACCGTTGCAGCGCTGTTAGTTGAAGGATAGACTAGAGAACCAGGCACCAAGGCGAACAGAGAGGAATCCACCTTCAGTTGGAGGAACACCAGGAATCCAGGATCAGAAGAACCCTCAAAAAAAAAAACCAGTCTACACAAAAATGTGCAGAAAATTAACTAATGTAAACTAAATGTCATTCTTCCGTTTTTTTTCCATTTGTTCAATAATATTTAAAGTCAATATGTTCAATAATACAACTTAAAATAAAAATCAATAAAATGTAATTGAACAACCAAAAGTACAGTACAGCATTGTAATGCAAAATTAACATGCTTAACTCAAACCAGTATCATTTGCTTTCAAAATGCATCTTTCTTATTGTACAAAACTAGAATATACAACAAAATATACCTGTGAGGTAACATCCACTGCTATTGCAGATAGCCAGACTGGTTTTTTGTCTTTTTTATCCACTGTAATGTCGAAATATAAACTTTTTAGTCATATCACCATTTTAGCTTCAAGCTAATCAACACAAAACGATAGTTTTCACTTACCCAGATAATTTTGTTTTACAACAAATGTCATCTCATCTTTAATGTGGTTCAACTTAAGGGATATAATTAGTTTTCTGAATAATTTCAACCTTAATATTAACTTCTGCTCTGGCTCCCGTTTTTCTCTGCTTCTCTTCCCTTTAGGCAAAACCCGCAATGGCCAAAAAACAGCAGAAGAAGAAAGTTTTATTGTGCCCTGCCACCTAGTGGCGAACTAGATATTGCGCTTTACTCTAGTTTGAGTGTTTGCATTAAAGGTCATTTCAGGACTTTATTTGGACAGAATTGACAGGGTTACACCAGCACACTTCACCTGAGCAACTTCCCATAGTCTAAAGCAGTGGTCACCAAACTTGTTCCTGGAGGGCCGGTGTCCTGGAGATATTAGCTCCAACCCTAATCTAACACACCTGAACAAGCTAATCAAGGTCTTACTTGGTATACATTAAACTTACAGGCAGGTGTGTTGAGGCAAGTTGGAGCTAAATCCTGCAGGGACACCGGCCCTCCAGGACCGAGATTGGTGACCCCTGATCTAAAGCCTAAGCAAACAAAAACATATAGTCAAAAAGTAGAAACAGTTTAAATCGAAACCAAAATGAACAACATTTATGTGTTGACTCCAAAATAAGGAAATGAATGAGCTTCATAACAGTCAGGGAGATATGATGGCAGGGGAAACGCTGAATGTAGTTTAAAGATGTTGATGATCTCCTTTTTCTGTGTGTGTTTCTCTCAGCGGCTCATTTTAAAGCTCAGGAGCATGTGGCTCCGTCTACACCGGCGTCGGCCCGACAGCAGATCCTCATGTCGGCCATCGTCAAATCCCCAGAGCGCCAGCCCAATCCCAGCAGCCTCCTCAACCCGTCCAGCTCAGCCCGCCGCAAGGAGAACTCCACACCGGAGGGTCTGTACCTCACCATCACTCAAAACACACACACACAAACAGTGCTCTGCATTAGTGAGCTTTATTTATTTCTCAGTGAACATAGCCAAACATGGTGCATTTAAATAAAACTGTTATTAAACAGTTATATGCAATAAAATACGAGTTTGGTCACCGAACATCTTTAGGAATGGAAAGATAATACATTTACATGACATTTTTGTCTTTGCTACTGACTAATCTAATGTGTATGCACAAATATATTACTGTAAAGCATCCTGTAGGATATGTTAATATAAAAGAGAGATGTGTGAAAGTTCAACTCATTCATGCTGAGCATCATACACACTCACTAATACACACAGCTGTGGGATATTCACAGGTCAGTCATTTCTGACTATACTATATTGAATCAGATCTTCATCATACATCAGTCTCAGTCATTTTTCTGATTATGAACTGCTAGCTGAATCTGATGGCTTATGCCAGTTGGTCGAACTACACTCCTTGTTTTTGGTAAATACACTTACCGGCCACTTTATTAGGTACACCTTACTAGTGCTTGGTTGGACCTCTTTTGCCCTTAGAATTGCCTTAATTCTTGGTGGCGTAGATTCAACAAGCTTCTGGAACTATTCCTCAGAGATTTTGCTCCATATTAACATGATAGCATCACACAGTTGTCTGCTGATCTTCCATGATGCCAATCTCCCGTTCCACCACATCCCAAAGCTGCTCTATTGGTGACTGTGGAGGCCATTTGAGTACAGTGAACTCATCGTCATGTTCAAGTAACCAGTCTGAGATGATTGAGCTTTATGACATGCTGCGTTATCCTGCTGGAAGTAGCCATCAGAAGATGGAGACACTGTGCTCATAAAGGGATGGACATGGTCAGCAGCAATACTCAGGTAGGCTGTGGCGTTGACACCATGCTCGATTGGTACTAATGGACTATTTGTGCCCACAGAACTGCCGCTTTATGGATATTTCCTCTTTGTCGAATCATTCTCTGTAAACCCTAGAGATGCTTGTGCGTGAAAATTCTAGTAGATCAGCAGTTTCTGAAATACTCAGAACAGCCCGTCTGGCAGCAGCAACCATGCCATGATCAAAGTCACTTAAATCCCCTTTCTTTCCCATTCTGATGCTCGCTTTGAACTGCAGCAGATCCTCTTGTCCATGTCTACATGCCTAAATGCATTAAGTTGCTGCCATGTGATTGGATTATTAGAAATTTGCCTTTACGAGCAGTTGGACAGGTGTACCTAATAAAGTGGCCGGTTAGTGTAGATTGATATTACAGCTCTCCTTCTGTTAAGCAAGTGAGTTTTACCATAGATGGATCTATTCAGCCCATCTCAGAGTTTGACACGAGCGCTTTTGGACTAGCTTAGCATAGATCATTGAATCGGATTAGACCATTAGCATCTCCCTTTAAAAATCTGATCAAAAATGTATTTGTTAAACCTGGACTCTTCTGTAGTTACAATGTGTATTTAGGCAAATTATATTGTGCAGTGCCTTCAAATAACCCTCAGCTAAGTTGCTAGGTATAATTTCTTATATTATTTCTAATATAATTTGTAATATCATTGCACTGCTGCAGTCATAGAATGACAGCAAAGTGTCTTTATTTTCACGGCAGAATAAGAGTATAGTTCTGTATTTGTATTAGTCTAGAAAATAGCAACTTTTCATTTTCAGTCAGTCTTAGCTCAAGCTTAGGGTCGAGTTTTAAATAGGAGAATTATCAAACTTTGGTTATTTTTGAGTGTGATGCTAATGGTCTATTCCGATTCAATGATCTATGCCAAGCTAAGCTAAAAGGGCTTCAGTCAGACCCAGAGGTCGGCTAAAATGATCGGTTCCACTAGTTAAAGGTAATGTATTTACCATAACCTCTTAAGGCCCAAGGTGTTTTTCTTATAAGCATTTTTAATTTCTCTTTGCTATTTGGGCTTATTGGAACCTAATTAAAATGAAAATCTAAGTATCATCTTTTGATATGATGTACTTTTTAGAGAAAAATGATGTCCATGTGGACTTGTGGTCTGAATTTACATAAAACACTTTTTCCTGAATGTTTTAATGCATATAAACATATAATTTTTTTGAACTTGCTTTGACTATCAGAGACTAAAAACAACATTTTTCCCATTTTGGACAGTTAAAAATAGTGTTTGGGACATTTCATATGCTGCAGAACAGTTGCAGGATGACACTGCATGTCTTAAAGTATTTACTGACATAAACAAGCAATGAAGAATTAATTTATTACAGTATTTATCTTTGGTGAAGTTAGTTAATGGAAATAAAGTTGTTCATCATTTGTTAATGTTAACTCAAGTTGTCCCCATCAGACCAGAAAGGATGAACCAAATTGCAGTGAAGATATAGACATTCAACAGTTTCAGTATCACTATTGCAGAATTGGCAAACAATGCAATTCACAATAAATCTTTTTCTCAGAAACTCGTTTGCAGGTTAAATATCATACATAATGTGTCGGCGCAATAGCCTAATTCGAATTCTGGCTCGAGGACATTCCCCTACCCCTACCCTTCCCTCTCTCTCCAACTTTGCTTCCTGTCTCAATACTTTCATATCCACTAAAACGGCAGGGGGCAGTCAAATCAAGCAGATCTGTGAAAATAACAAATTACTGAAAAGTAGATTGAAACTGAGCTCCATATAAAAACTAAATTATTCTTTTCTTTTTATTTGTTTAACTGCTACAATATTATATTTATTTTTTATTGGAAGCTTTTTGGTTTTGAGTATAAAGAAGGATTTGTTTTATTTGCTGCTAAGCAGAAACCCCAGAAGTACAGCTCTATCACTGTTTAAAGTGTAATAACATAAATTAAAAAAAGATCATACTTTTATGATGTTAGTTTTAATATATTAAAAAATTTAAATCAGAGAAATCCTCTGGCTTTTTTTCATTTTTTTTGCTTTATCGAACGATATTATTAAAATAAAAAAGGTAATGATTCGCACTTAATTGCTTCGTACAGTCAGTCTGAGGAAGGCTTTGTGCCGAAACATCTGTGTCTTTTAATCACCCGTAAAATGTAAGAGAAAGAAAAAACTGTACGAAGCAATTGAGTGCGAATCATTACCTTTTTTTATAATAATAGCATTAATAAGATTGATTCACCAAACCAAAGAAGTTCCTGAAAAAAACGCAAGCGCGCAGGGCAAACTTCAGTAACTCTACACACATGTATCGAAAGATACAAATATATATATAATACATAATTTTAAAATGTACTATTTAGTATTTTGGAGGGAGAGGAAATGTTAAATATTTACATCTAATTAAAAAATATATTTTAAATTCTTATTAAAAGGTTGGAAATGTTAAGTCAAGGTGCATTAGCTAATTTTAACAAGCATGAATTTGGAATTTAGTAATGCATCAGTAAATGCTGAATTATGATTAATAAATGGTGGACAAGAGTTGTTCATTATTAGCTCATGTTTGTAAATACATTAAGTTATAGCTGGTTGAAGCTTACGCTGCTATTCTGAACCAATAATCGGAAACAGAAAGCAGTTGAAGGATGGCGTGTTTCAATCCATTATTTATCTGACTCCATTCTAATTAATCTGACTCCATTAAAGTTGTTATCATCGTTGATAAAGAGAAAGAATCTCTACGTCTTAAAGCAGGCAAAGTTGTTTATTACGTTACATGTTTAAATATACAGACAGTAGAATGAAACAAACTAGCATACTGTATAAAGAAATTAGCTGTAACATATGCACTGCTGAGCAACAAACACAGTGAAACTGCCTTTGTTAGCATATGAGGCTACGCACCGGTGTGCGGGAGATGCAGAGTAAAAGCTATTCTCCCAGATCAACAGTTACCTTTCCTTATTATACCCTGAACAAAGCCTTGTGAAACATTAGGGAAAACCAACCCCCAAAACCAGCTGAACGTGAGAGCAAAGTTGAGGAGATAAAGTGAGGGAGAGGAACTACTTAACTACTTAAAATACTCTCCTCAGATTGAAATACAATTAATCAATGTCTCTGTTGATTTCATCACTACAACACTGAAGTCATAAACTGTCAAATGACACCAAACATGACAAAGTTATCTGAAGGAAGAACACAAGCAGATGAATTGTGTATGGTGAACAGCACATGGTTACTGTAAGCAAATGGCAGAGATGTGTATCGGAGCTGTGAGGAACTCTGCCTCACCAGGAGGACCCACCCATGCTTGGAATGTCTCAGTCGTCCTTCATTAGCATAGAAGGAAAAGTATATCATATTTTCTCAGCTTACACTGGTAAAACTCAACTGTTTACCTCTAGGAGAGCTGTAATATGAGCCTATAATCAAAAGCGTGGAGTGTTTCTTTAATATAGGTCAACATTTTTTCTTATTTCTTTAGTTTTTTGTGTCAGAATAAATGTTTTCATGTCATCGTCTTGAGTCATCGCTCCTGATTCAGCTTGTCCAAATGAAAGCG